ATCATGATTAATACTAACGTAAGGAAGAAGCAGGTCAGTATGCATACATCAAGGTTTTTTCTATTGAATAAATTCTTTTAATGTAAAAAGTGTACTTATATGAAATAATGAAAAATTTACACTTTCAATCCTGTATTTTTTCCTCAGAAAGTACGATAGCAAGTAATAGTTCTATTACTGTGTGTTTAAATAAAGTTGTCTAGTTTTGAATTTGCTAATTCAGAGTAGACACGATGTCTGACACTACCCAGGACGATGAAAACGAGATAAAAAATGACTCATTTATGGCTCCTTAATGAGTCATTAATGGGTAATTAACTGGCCGTTTTTAGATCGTTTAAGGTCATTTTTATTTAGTTTTTATGCCATAAACGGCATCATTATTCGGTCGTATTTTAGACCATTATTTTTACTACGTAAAAATGATCATTCATTGATGATGATTTTTAGATCATTACTCGGACGTTTATCAGGCATTTTTCAGTCATTAATGAGATAATTAAGACGCTGATTTTTTTTTGACCATAATTACCTCGTTTTTACTTCATTAACTGTCCAATAATTGACCATTTTTACGTCGTTCGAATGACGTAATTATGACCGTAAAATGACTCCTTCAACTGGTTCAGCCGATTGGGTCATTTTACGGTCGTAATTACATCATTCGAACGACGTAAAAATGGTCAATTATTGGACAGTTAATGAAGTAAAAACGAGGTAATTATGGTCATTAAAAAGAAGTAATGTGAATGTGTCATTCACATGGCCTTTCACCTGAAAATGTTTTTTGGTCAGTGCGTTCACGTGTAATAAGCACACTGTTCGTCAAGTTTATACTTATACGCTTTTCGGATGTACGATCCGCCGAAGGACAGTAGGACCCTTTAAAAGCATACATAGGCGCTTCTTGGACGTACATAAGCTTTCTTGGGACAATAGGCGTATCCAGGGTGTACAGAAACGTTTACGATGGTAGAAAGGTCCTTTGAAAGCATACGTAGGCGTTTTTGAGGATGAACACAGGCGGTTTAAGAGCGTACACAACCATGTTTTTGACCACCGTCGGACAGTGATGGTGTGAAGAAAAAAAGAAACGTAATTTAGGTTTTGAAGACTCTTCCTTTCCAAGTGAAGAGAATGATGCTCCTAACCGACGAACGTATTTCCATACACTAGATGTTCCGCGCATTTCCATATACCACGTGAGTTTTGATCTGATTGTACATTTCGTTCACAATCAGCTTTCTACAACTAAACACAATCTTATTTCTAGGAAAAGCCAGCTAAGCTTTGCTGAATTAGCAACAACTATTTAGCAAAGTCTGTTTACCAGCGAGAGGTTGAACACGGATTGAGTCTTGTTGTAGCTGGGCTGAAAAATAAAATTTCGACTACTAAAAAACAAGCTTTATAAGACCAATGTTTTTGTAGCAGAGTGCGGCATTACATAAAGGCATTTTGTTATTTATTTTCAACTGACCGATCAGGAACACAGTTTGGCAGTATACACAAAACAGAAAATAATCATCAACAGTTTTATTTTCATAATAGTAAAAGAGGATTACTTGATTAGTACAACAATGACATAAAAGATAAAAAAATAATGCTTCTTTAATAATAAAAACATGAAAGTTTATGTTGTTTAGTAGGAAAAAACATGATCATGCTTGATTATATAGTAGAAAACATAAATGAATAGTATTGAAATATAACTGAAAGAAGTGTTAAAGTAAAGCGTACAAACATTAGTAAGTCTATGTGTTTTAATGTATGCAAAACACAGTTCATATATCAGTTCTAAATCAGTCTCTTTATTCATCCTCATCCTAGAAACCTCCTCCATTACCACCGTCATTTTCATGATTAACACCACGACCATCATTATACTCAACATCTCCCGTAGCAGCACGAGTCGATGAATGTTGTCGACGAACTTTCCCTTTTACATTAGAACATTTGTCTCTAAATGTTTTCACAAGTAGCAACTCATAATAAGTGGTAAAAAATTTTTGTGATATACAAAATCTATTTTGCATGGCACCTAAAACGTGAAGAGCGAATTATAGGAAAAGCTAAGCAGTCTAGAGAAATCACAATAATCCCTTATGACAGATATAGTAGAGCCGTGAATCGGTTTCACAGCTATCGAAATCCACAACTTTCTTCTTTTCTCCTGTTCCAGGTTTTAACTTATTTAGTTTTTTGATTACCTCAACCACAGGGAAGAAAGGTTGTTTTTTGAAGAAAATCTTTTTTTATATTCGACCCCCTCTGAGCTTATACACATACTATTATCGGCTCCAAAATATAAGGCCGGTGGTTGTTTTTTGAATAACCAAAGACGATAAAAGATAGAAATTTGAGATTTTTAACAATCGAAAGAAGACAGTTTTGCCTATATTTTTATAAGCAAAATCCTTTTCCGAAAATTTTCGGACGATCGGTTTTCTAGGTCTTTAGACAACCAATTCAGATCTCCGGAAACTGAGATAGCAATCTATCAGTTTTTTTCATAGAGATATAGCCCAAAGTGTCTTCTCTAAAATGGGAACTAAACAAACTCTTCATTTTTCCTAGTTCAGGTGTGGCAATGGATGTCCTGAGAGTCCCAGAATCAATATGTCTTTAGGTATGGAAATTCCGAAAACGAACGGAAATATAGGTAATGGACCACGCTGGATCTCGTGGTGATATTTGGTTTTCAAAAAAGTCACACCCAGCCAGAATCCATCTAAATTATGTCAGACTATCAAGAGATACTCGATTTTACCTGCTCAATGCTACGGGATTTAATAAAAAACCATGGAAAATACTTTGGATTTTGAAAAGATTTTATCTACTCGATGCGATTTTTCACCTAAGAATAGTAATAAATATACTTGCAGTTAGGAAGATTTCTAGCAAATCTTTTCAAAATCCAAAGTATTTTCCATGGTTTTTTATTAAATCCCGTAGCATTGAGC